GAGTTCCTTATTCACTTTTCTTCCTTTTTTTCTTTTTTTTGCCACAGAGCTTTCCTTTTATCTCACGTACTGACTGTTTTTCCTTCTAGAAAATCTAATCAATCATACTAACTTCTTCTTGGTCAGCTTTGAGTCTTTTTTCTCATTTTTTCCGTTAGTCGTTACAAATTATGCTTTTTAAATTTTCTTGCCGCAAAGGTGCGATAACGTGAGTTTTGCTCACTTGTTTTCTTGGTGTGCTCTCTTTTTTAGGCTTTTGACTGCATACTGCTTGATCGAACTTACCTTCTAGTGGGCTACTTTTTTTGTTTTCTGCATGTCTGAGTCTTTTAGTTAACTAAAACGTACTTTCTACATTTTCAACTAAACAGATTCTCCGTAACGTGGATATTTCCTGCAATCTTCTGCTCTCTCACATTGCAATTTTTTTTTCATTGTTTCCGCCCCAATTGCTGGCTGAGGGTTTTTTTAATTTTTAATCTAATTTATGTTACCAATTTACCGTCTCGGGCAGCTTTGATGGTTTTGAAGTACTCTAGCATGTTCTGCTTATAATTTGTCGAGGATAGTTCCATCATGTGCTTGGTTCCAAGAAAAGCACGAGTGAGTAAGTTTTTTCAAGTACTTCCTTTCCTTTTCGTAATTTTTTTTGCACGTCATCTTTGCATCGGCCCTTGAAGAAATAGCATTATCCTCCTCGTTTTGGCCTAGAAAAAATATCTTTGGTATGGTGCGTGCAGCCGCGACGCACTTCCAGAAAATTCGGGAGCCAGCGAAAGTGAAAGCACTGACCGAAGCCGCGCAAATGATCTATAACAAACTGTGGACAAAACTTGAAAAGAAGGGTAACATAGATTGAAATTCAAATGGCTCTCTGTGGCCAGCAACAGATGAAAAACAAACAAAACGCATGGAGTAAAAAAGAAAAAAGAAAGTTAAAGTTAACATGGCGAAAACCTTGCTTGAATGCATGAAAAATAAACGTGGAAATAAACGCAAGCAGTGAAAGGAATGAAATTTGCATGAAATTGAAAAAGAAATGCCAAGAAGGATCTAAGAGAGAAATAGGCAGATAAACAAAAAGTAAATGATGACTGAGGTACATTTGGTAAGATACTAACGTTCCCGCAAAAAATACCTTCTAAACCAACAACTTTCCAAGTTGAATCTGTCACAAATGAAAAAAGGAGAAAAAGTAATGAAAAACGAAAGAAGCGCATCTTCATACGATAATTTTGATTGTGAGAACTTCCTCAAATCGACTTGCAAAGTGATTCGACGCTAGCGATGTCGCTCTCCAGGTCAACGCGGTGAGCGGAACGATCGAGTAACTTGGTCAGCTATAGTAACCGCAAAGCGCTGTGCGCGCGTGATTGTTGTCATTGAGGCGGTTTGTATTGGAGCACGCTATCAAAATCGCGTCTCTTAGCATACACTCGCTTCAACCTACATCCTGTTGGAACAGACCCTAGCTATTTTCCACTTCACATTTGCTGCTACTCGTGTGGCCGTATTCATCAACGAACCATGGGGGTAACCCCTACCCCTCAGGGTGGGGTTTACCCTCAGGATTCATCGACCGTATTCATCAACGAACCATTGAAGGTAGGGTTTACGCCGGAAATCAACTAATCCGCATTCATCAACGAACCTTGAAGCTAAATCTTATTATTGGAGGACAAACCATATCCCAGAGAACGACCAAACCGTATCTACGAACATAGCTCATCAGGATATATTTAACTCTAGTAGAGCAAGATTAGAATCTTTTTGACACATCGTACAAACATTAAAGGCAGCGTCCAGACAAATCTGGACATACGGGGTTTGAAAAACAAAAACCATCTGACGCTCCTGACAATGAAGTAGCGACGGAAAAATCAACACAGCAAGAAATCTAAACACCTGAATCAAACTTAAACGAATAATTTTAAAAAAGCATCAATAGTTAGCATAGTTAACACAGTTAGCATCAATAGTTAACATACAGCATCATCAGTCACTAGTTCATTTACATCGCCCTTGAGTATTCCACTCTCGTACGTGATCTTGGAGTTATGATTGACAACTCCCTTACATTCTCCGCCCACATTGACTCAGTAGTAAAGAAATCATCATCTTCGCTTTTTACAATTTTTAGAAACATTCATAGCAATGATACTGAGGTGTTCTTAAGATTATATAAAATATGTATTATCTCTACCATCTGTACCATCTCGAATATGCCTCCCCTGTCTGAAGTCCATTTTTGAAGCGCAACGTCAATAGAATTGAGAAAATTCAAAGAACGCTCACGAGGTTACTTTTTAAAGAAGTTTTTCCCAATTCAGAATATCCACAAGCCCTACCTTCCTATCAATCTTTTCTTAATAAACTTAACCTTCAGAGTCTAAAGTGCAGAACGCATCATTAGTGATCTTACTCTTTTTTCGATCGAATATTGCGCTTAGAAACTAGACTCACAGCCAGCAAATACTGGATCTTTAAACCCTACAGCGAACGATCAGGTAGGTTTGAGCTGCATTATCGTAAATTAGGGAAAAACAAGTTTTCACAACGTTCAACTCATTCATCTGTCGAACATCCAGATGGTTTTCTGCACTCCAAGATCACATTATTGCAAGCGAAAACTCCAAAATTTTTCGAAAAAGACTACGAAATGCAAATGTGCTGCATCTTGATATATGTGATTTTTAGATTTATTCTATGCAAATGTACTATCCATCTACTTCAAACCACGTTGTCGACCCGCCCATTATCAAACGCCATGTTTCTGCTGCTTTTGGATAATCAGCAAGATCGATAGAGATTGACCGTTGTCTGCATTTTGTTTGATTATTACCAACTATTGCTTGAGTTCGTTGATGATTTCAACCAGCTTATCTCATATAGCAGGGGGGACAAAGACTGAAATCTCGTATCATTACCTCTCCGAAAGCAAATGTACAAGTTATAACTCCCAGACACTGCTTAAACAAACTTTCCGCTCACCAGTCACTAGAATTTCTGCTTAACGGCCCAACTTAGTATCTTGCTCTTCTAACATATGGATTTAATTGGGCTTAAGTCAGCTAGCTTCCGGCAGGCTCGTTGACACCCAAAAAAAGGGTCATTATATATTACGAAGAAAGCATGATTCCTAAGTATGAACATTCTTTTCTGGTATTCTGTTTCTCTTGGAGTGGGGTTGTTCATGTGTCGCAGTAATCCGAAACGTTTTGGTTTGTTTTTTTGTACATATCGCAATCTCCCTTGTTTGAGACGCATGGTATTATGCTTATCCGAATTTGCCTTTTTCTACCAATGGTGCACCATGAGTGCAATTTCAAATAAAAATAAAATAAAATAAACAGAGATACGGCCCACAATGCAAAACGCTAGTTACATCAATCTTCAGTATACTCTTTTTGAAAGTCCAACTATTTTTGGAAGCTTGTAGTTTGGGAGGTAATCGATTAAGCCAGCGAGCACAGCGGTAGGTCAATGAATTAAAAAAACCGGAATAGGAACTTTTGTATAGGTCAAATCCACCACGTAAGATCGGATCTTACATCTTCCGCCCTATTATATTGATTGATTTTTTGCCATTTTATGTGATCCCCAGGAGATCCCCAGGGGATTCCGGGGATCACCTCTCATTTTTAAAGTTATTTATATTCCTGAGAAGTCAATGAAAAAGCTGTAAAATTGTACTGAGGATATACTAAGGCACTGCTAAGCATACTTTTGACAGAAGAAATGGAATCTGAAGATTGTGATTTTTTCGATGATTCCTGACTCGCGAGCTAGGGATTACCGAAGATTTCGATGTTCTGGGATTTCGCTTATTTCTACTGTAATCATCTTTAGCAGCGCCCTATTATATCTACAATACAATTTTACAGCGTTTCATTGAGTTTTCAGAAAGATAAATGCCATGAGATTGAGAGGTGATTCCCTGGGGATCTTCTGGGGATCCCTAGGGGATCACACAAAATAGTGAAAATCTAATCAATTACGCCAGTAACCTGGCATCCATTATGCGCAGATATAAGTGTATTAGAACCTTCATAAGCAAGATAGAAAAGGAAGAAAAAAGATACGTAGAGTAGCGAGATATCACGCATCCACTCTCATATCCCCTCCCCTCCCCAGCGGGGATGCACGTGCATACGGGCCCTGGTTGATGAAGTAAAACAAGTTCTACGTAATGACTGCCAAAGATCAATCTAAGTCGTAATCCAGGTAAAGTTTGGAGCCAGAGTCAAAGAAAATTTTATCGTTCGAAACTGAAGTTGGGCGGAGAAAAATGCTAGAAGTTACTAGTTCATATTAGTCGTCATACGGAAGATACATCGTAGTATTCATAAAGGCATTTGCTAGATTTTTTGGAAGTCGAGAGAAAATAGACTCAAACTGGCAAACTCCGCCCCGCTCCTCCCACATATGTGATCGGTATTTATCACTAACTTCGTTTCTTGAAGTTGAGTCGAGGAAAAAAACCAGCGAATGTATTCATGAGACTACAATGTGGCTGCTATATTATGACCAAATTGGAGATCCGTAGGAACCTGGAAGAAGATCCGATCTTTGGTTACTTAAAATCAGTTTTTAGCTCCTTTACCCGAACACGACTTAAGTTGATCTCTGGCCATCGTTATGTAGAATTTGCTTTACTTTTTCGATTAATACCCCAAGTCTGCTAGGAAAACAAAAAGAATTTGATTTGCTCAGAAGTTATTACTTTTGAGACAACCAATATTTTTAGAACTCATCAACCGACTACTACTTTCTTCCTCATGTGATCTTGGTGATCAATTTTTCCTTTTTTGTGCTCGACTTATCAGAAAAAACCGTATACGTTTTATGGCTCATGGCGTGTAACATTGGTGCGGTTGGCTCAATTACTAAACAACAAGTATCTCGGAAAACTTGATGCACTTCAGCTCTGCTGATGTCGTTTTTTACAATTTGAGTATTCTCTATTTTTTGATTTGTGCTTCATGTACATTCTATAAAGGGAAGATGTTTATCATGGTTAAGTAGCTGCATGTATTTACACATCTTTGGTATATGGCCGCGCGAACAAAAATCGATAAATCGATCATTCCAATGGCAGCGAACAGCGACTAGAAGAGTATGAGAGATAAATGCATATGAATGGAGATGAGACCGTAAAACAATGTCATCTGAAAGCCTTGACGATGATAAATGATTCTGGAGACTGGAATTTGCAGATTTGTGGCGAAAAAAGGAAGAAAACCCGTTTTAGAAGTGCTACATAACTCAGAATACCAATCGATAACGATCAATAATGATGGAGACCTTGATGTGAAAGCTTATGATGGAACAACGACACTCATGACTATATCTCACAAGAAAGCCTATAACCATATTGCACTAATCAGTATAGTATAATATGAAGTGAAATACTGGTGCTATTGATCGATTATTGATCGTCCTCTACGCCCATTGAGCATCTTGGTAGGCGGAAAGTATAAACGCCTATGGCGGCGACAGGGCGCGTCTTCGGCGGCGCGCGACGAAGACGATGTCGACGTCTTTCCATTTGTCCCAGACGTAGGACAAGTGTACGAGGTAATGGCAAATGTGCATATGATGAACCGGACATAGAATGGACCTAAAAGTGTAAAATCAAAGTTCATAACCTTATTCTAATTCTTTTAGCCATTGAATGCGTTTAAGCCACGAAAAACAGACAGTAAAAATTTGTTAGTGGGCGGTCTCTAGTCCATAAAGGGGCGTGGCCAAGACCTGCCATGAAATTTACAGATTACCAAGATTTTTCGCGGCTGTTTGATTGACTGATTTGTCCATAAAATTTTCATGATTGTTTCAAAATAAACACTTTGGAATATCGCTCAAATCCCATAATCAATCACTTACCCTCAAAAGGGCAGCATCGGTCAGAGAATGTGCAATATATAGACAAGATTGATTTTCAACCACAAATCGCGATTGCTGTGCTGTGCTGAAATAATCTTACTTAAAATATTGTCAACTGGTTTAAAATTGTAAAAACTATCATTACAAACCTCGTTATCATAGGATAAAGTGTTTCAGAAACATCTATTTCAGTGAACGGTGTGCAGAGGTATTGACCATTACGGTAGAAACTAATTTTTCTCCCAGGACCATCGAATAGGATTCCAACAATGCAGCTGAAAAAAACCACTTTTAAATTTATAAAACAGATATTTATAGTTAGATGTTGAAATTATGCACAAAATTACTAGGAAAATTCAAATGAGATGGAAAAAAGTAAATTTCGTACAAAATTGGCTGAGCAAATTCCTACCCAGACAGATGGATATTAATATCTTATTTAGTGGAAATTTCCGCAAGTTCTAATCATACATATCAGCTCTTACAAAATTTTGCACTACATAACATACATTTAATTAAACGTCAGCTAAGTATGAACCTTATATAAACGCCCAAATAACTTTTATGAGTCAGAAAACTTTTAAATTTCCAGTCTAAGTGCTATGATTCCAAATCTGTAAAAGTGTAGAAATCCTCGAAATTTTGCACACTCACTCTCTATACGGTAGCTGATCGCAAACGGCCACTTCTACTCCACAATGTCGTGCGACTCCTTTCTGATTAATGCCATAGGAGTGCTCGTCCTCGCCAAGAAGATCCACGAACTGAGATCTAGCTCGGGTCTGTAATCACGTACCAATCAAAGAAAAATAGTCGTGGGACGCTGTTCAGTTTCATTAGCACAAAATGTGTTCAAAACATGAATGTTAAAGGTCAAAAGGCTTCGAAAATGCGAATAATATCAAATTCGTAGATATTCCGATCGCTTTTTCATAAAAACCGGGAAACTCAGCGAATGGCAACTTCCTACAGCTAGTAAACCAAAGCACTTAGTTCGATAATTTTAAACGGCTTATATATCACTGAAATGAGCTTTGAGTTGATGATCTACATAGAAGTCGCGCCTGTGGACGGTTTTGCGAAAAAGATATGCATGTTACAGTCTACCGTAATCCTGAATCTTTGGTAGTCTCATTTCACGGGATGTATGTTAGAAGGCTCAAGTTTTGGCAGTAGTCATTCATTCTGGATTTATACTCCACAAAAGCAAGGTTTTCAAAGCCCAGAATTTCATCAGAATATCAGCATAAGTCGCGGATTATTGCATAGTTAAAATCAGGAAGGAACCAAATAATTTTAAGCTCATTTTTTTCTCCTTAGGGACAGCCGATCAATACGCCCTTCGACCGACTCCCCATTCTATGACCAAAAGCACAGGAAAAACCTTCAAACATGCAAGGACCTATTCTTGCCCATTCCTGCCCCAACTACGGTAACCTAGGCACAGTTTTCTAGTTCCAACCCTACATAAAACCCAAGCAGAGCCAGCTTGCCCCTTATTTACCCATAGTATTGTGCGCACTGCTCGTTAGAGGGGCTTAGACCTGCTGCTTCCGCCGGCCATGCGCCTTGTCAAAGGCACACAGGGGGTCAGCGAACGCACAACGAGCAATCTCTCGGTAAACATTTGATAAGCGGGGGCAATTCGGGGTCAGCACGCAGTGGTGTTTATTTCAAGATCTTGGACGTGTGCAAATGCAGAAAAAAACAAAAAAGCAAAGGGATTTGGTTGCTCACCGAAGCACGTTTCGAGCCGACTCCAAACATTATTGATGTGCCGAAGAGATTTTGACAAACTCTCGTGTCCCAGTAGACTATCGAAGTGGCGGTGAGCTCTTTTGCTCCACGGATGCCGGCTGTCCCAAATGCATACACGGGATGGAAAAGCACTTCATTTCCCCATACGGCTGCTTCGAGATTTGTCTGGAAAATGTATAATTTGAAAAATTATAGAAACGCTGGCAAAATCAAATCCTTTAAATTTTTTAAAAACTTTTTCCGTACCATTTTTTTGCCCTTAGGACAGATAAACGGCTTTTGATGATACTGATTGGAGGGCCTAAACTAAGTGACTGCCCAAGCACGAGCTCAAATGGTTTTGACGGAGAAGTCCGTCTCTGAATTTCAAAACAGGCCGTGCTCCGTTCGAGTAGACCAATCAGCATCCTGGGTACGGTAGAGGACGCTGATTGGTCCTCTTGAGCAATGTCTCCCCAGCAATGTCCACACGAAAAAGAGTATTTTTGCTTATACACTGTTTTTGATGGACTTCTGGTGTAATAAGAATAACTTTCGCATAGTTCTCAAATTTTTCAAAATTACGGCAGATTTCGATTATGCCAGAGCAAAATTCTAGGTATAAATTTTCCAATCTCATAAAACCAACAAAGCCATGAGACAATCCAATCTGGATGCTGTATGAGTGAATGTTACGAAACACTGCAGTACTTCGCGGATTACTGTTATCTTCGTCTAATTCTGTCATTTTTTAAGAATCGTAACGAACTAAAAATTTGTTCGAAAAAGTTGACGAAAGTTTACTCTTCCGAAATCTGAAGTACCTCTTAGCTTACATATACAGTATGATAGTCTTGCTCTTATTATCAAAACCTGAAGTCTTGTATCCTAAAACTACGGTATTCCAAGTTTCCAAATAAGGAAGTCTATTCCTCTACTACATCACTTTTATGCATGAAAATGCAAATCAAGCATAAATATTGTAACCTACAGTTAATTACGCTAAGTGCAGAAAGGTTATTTATTACTTTGCTTTGCTGCTGAAGAGCAGAAGCAAATGATCATTTCATGTCAACATTTCGTGCCATTTCGTTCCTCAGGGTACATAATTAAAAGTCACAATAAAAATGACAGATGTAGACGGAAGCAATACGGTTGCTATGGTAAGGGCCGCTTTTGTTATGGCTTCTTTTGTGCGCTAATAAATAACAAAAAGACATTTGTAGCCGGAAAAAAATGTTTTACTTCGATGCTAAGACAAGCAGCAAAAAACAGAGTTGGTCTTGATGTTTGAATGTCGGGCACTCAATCCAGATTTTGTTTCTGATGTATAGACATTAAGCAAATATTTGATTTTTTGGGTTTTGAAGGGTAGCTGACATAGTTTATACTGATAAGAAATGGAGCGGATTGGATTGGGTCACATGATGCTGATGATGAATGGGGTAAGCCCTGATAAGCTCTTCATAAGTGTTTTTTTCGATGTGAGTCACTAATCTTAATACCTCATCAGAATTTTCGAGAATTATTTCTGAGCACAAAAGAGGCATTGTATTGACGCAGAAAGCAGGAAATTGGATCCGAACTTTTTTGCAAGCTAATATGAGTTCCAGAAATCCATGAAAATATCAACAATGAAATTATTTGAGCAAAGACAAATGTATATAATTCTGTAACTGATGCAAAGATATAGATCAAAAAAAAATCTTTTTGTGAAAAATCGGCTCACCGGTAGGAACTTTTACAGCACTAAATACCCTTTTCAATCCTCCTCATGATATAACCACTGAATATTTTCACATTTCAAGATTTTTGGCCCAGGCCCCACTACCTATGCATATTATTTCTGCAACCCCGTCCACGACTAGTAAATAATTTACATCCATTGAGCGCTGGCTGCATGGATTCGTTATGAAGTCCACTCGCCATTGTTACATGAGCTGTCGCAGCAAACCATGCATATGGAATCGCAAGTGATGTTCAGAATGTGGTTTGAAAGCAAATAGGTAACAAAAGTAATTAATTTTTCAGAAAATCAGGTGCAAAAGCATTGGTAAAAATCTCATGGAACTTAGTAACAACGAATTCTAGATTAAAAGATGATCATGATGATAAAAAACCAAAAATGATAAATTTAATGACAGGATTTTATAATATAGACTGATAAGCTTTTTCATCAGTCCCTTCTAAAAATGCAAAGAACATGAATCACAAAATGATAAATGGTAATAAAGGATGCAAACAATTTGTATTTTTGTGAGCTGTCTAAGTAATACTTGAAGTAATGCAGTTTCTTCTCTAATCACTGAATGTTGAGTATGTTTCGTGCAAGATTACGAAATTTAGATAACTTGCTTCCAGTCCTAGCCAAAATTTCATTCTCACTGCTTAAAAGACGTTGCAGAAGCAGTTCCTAAACTGGGCCAAGTTTTTTAAATTTATAACCATTCCTTCGACATACGTTCATATCATAACATCATAGTTCTTGACCAACATTATAAAGTGGGATGATTCATCCGATATTCGATTCTTTTCTGTAACCCATGATGTTATGCATCGATAGATAACATATGGATGTAGTATTACTAATGCATGAAGTGCTTCGAAATCGATACAGATGGATTACGGTACTTTTCAGAGGTTCCAGAATAGTCGAAAAAAAGTGCTCCTATCCTAACTTCTAAAAAAATCAAAGCAGGAGATTCGTTTAAAAATGCCCATCTCATAGTTTTATGATTTTTTTCAAGTGTCATCTATAGTGGTGAGCATTGATTGCATATCCTAATTAGGTCCTGCTCAGATTTTGTGGAGAACACTGTTAAAATAGACGGTCATAGGTTTATCTGGTAAGCGAAAATCCCGACAAGAGGATAATTTGGACACGAATCAAATTTAAAACCATAATTGTGTTGTATGAAAATAATGTAAGCGAGTCCGTTACACAATTAACAATGTTGGATTTTTCGAGAAAACTGTCAGAAAAAAAATATAGTCACAAAAACAATTTGTAATGAAGCTGAACCAATCAGTTTATTCAACGGAAAGCTCTGATGTTTTTTTGGCTTTATTACTGAATATTTTAGGATTTTGATGGCTCCAATGTAATTCTCAACTTTAGAAGATCTATATAGCAACCCATATTCTTTTTTATAATTTTTGACCCCCCCCCCCCCCCTGCACTCCCACCTTGTTGTCAGTTTGCTCAGGCTTGTGTCTCGCATTCACAGAACCGTAAGCCATTGAGTAATTGCAAAGCAAACAGCACAAATGGCTAGGATTGATAAGACATGACCGCAGCTGGGTTATTGAGGGTCAGATTTGAAACCACTTACCGATTCTTTGGCAAATGGCCAGGAGTCTGGATACATTTGTGGAACACGTGGTGCTTCATTGCTTGCGTTTGAGTACACCACTCTTTTGGACATCTGAAAGAGAAAAATTAGAAAATTCTGGAGAAAGGGAAAAAAGAGAGGAATAAGCGAGTCCGATGAGATGAGCGATTGTGGATAGAGGAAATTAGAGTGGGGATAAAAACTGAGTCGTTTATCAAAGCCGGGAAATTAGCCCATTCAGAAGATGGTGGAAATGGGCCCCAAAACGACAATGACCCCTTATCTCACCCATGAATCAATGCTATGGGATACTGTAGCCCAGAGGGAGCAGGCCCAATCCCAACAGCTGATTGTTCCAGAATTGCTGAAATGAACTGAGTGCGCATTTAGGGCCGAGAGGCTAAGCTTACTCTCGATCGATAACCCTCCCCCCTCCCCCGTCCTACACCCCCCGCACCCGGCGGGACACACAGCTGGCGCTCTCTGAGGATTACGATTAGGAGCAAGAGCCGTGAGCGTTCGATGTACGACGACGACTTCGTTGAAGGGGGGGGGGGGGTCGACCAAGGTTACGCCCCTTCATTAATTGAGCACCCGTTTCGACTCATGCTCGGGGGGGGGGAGGAGGTGGGGGAGCTGTAAACAAGAAATGAAGCCAACTATATTTCCTATGATGTCAGAAGCTATTATGCTCGCTTCTTCCTCTGACGGTAAAAGCTGGCTTTAGTCACATACTAATAAGATTTGCAGCGCGGAACGGAAAAACAGGAACAAGAACAATCCACTAGGGAGGTTTTTCTTAGAATTTTCAAAATAGTAAAAACTTGATTTTATCGGAAAACTAGTAGGAGATTTGCAGCTGTCGTGATAGAAAAGATTACCACTTTAATAATCAGTTTTACATTTTGAAGGCTAGACTGAAATTTCAAAAATAAAGCTGTGTATGGGGCCGTCTATCAGGTTGGCTAGAAAATCATTAGTGTTAAAAACTAGACGGATACATGGGTGTTTGACAACATCAAAGAGTGTTACAGAAAAAAGCAAAATGCACCAATCTCGCAAGAAACTGAGATAATAGGTTTTCATCAACCTCACGTAAGTCAGTATGAGGTTGGTGAAAATTTCTGAAAAAAATATAAAAAGTTTGGTATAACAGATAGAGTTGAAACCTATGAATTTGTCGAAGTAAGGTTCCAGAAATTTTCGGAATTTGAACCAGCGAACCTGCTTCACTATCCCTTATATTTTGATGTTTTGATATGAACGGTATCGTAGATAATTTTTATGAAAACTCTCTTTACGCTCACAAAATTTACCTTAGCAGACAAATTTCGCAAACAGAGTACCAATTTCGCAAAATAAAATGTTTTTCACGCTAATTATTATTGCATAGGAAAAAAGTTTCTATGGCACATTACTTTCGCATAAGTTTCTTATTATTATTTTAGTAAGGAGATTTTCCAAAAGAAATCATTAGCAATCAAATTACCACTAGAAGATGCCAAGAACTCTGCACATACAACAGTTACTCTTCATACAAGATAAAAGTTTCATTCTTCAAACATTATAATATATGCAGTTTGAAGCTTTAGTTGCAGAAACATGAATGCATTTTCATAATAGTTAAAGTAACAAAACTTTACCAAGCGTTTCTGACTTCTCTCAAAATCACAGAATAAGCAAGCAAAGTTCTTACGAGCTCTAAAACTATACAACCGCGTGTTTGCAAGAGGCTTGATGGACGTTCGGTTGGCGCTGTAATAAGAAAAACAAATCTGAGAGCTCAGCGTAGCTTCAGGCACATGGTACCATCGTAAAGCTTCGTAATATCGTGAAATCTTGCGTGAGTCAGAGAAATATTCCACAAAAATACTTGAAACGGGAAATTTGCCACAAATATCCAACAGATTTGGATTCTTGCAAAATAAAAGACCACCAATATGATTAATGCGTCCCATTTCATGAAATTCTTCCCCTAAAACAGGTGATGAGCGGTTCTTTTTTGTGCAGATTGAATTATCACCCTTTAATTAGTGGTTCTTTTTTATATGCAGATGTACTAATCCTTTCCCACAGAGAACGTTTTTTGCAATTATTGCGACTGATACATTTCCCATAATAGTGCAAGAGATGAAATTTAAGATGAGAAAAAAAGTTGTAATAATGAAGATGTGAGTGAAAAGATGAAGGAAGTGATGAATAAGTATATAATGTTGTTATTGGCGATAGAAGTAACCTCTAAGATAAAATTCTCTTACTAGGATGCTAGGATGTTAGGGGCATTCTTGTGTGAGATGAGGTCACCCAATGAACAAATTATATCCCCAGGGAAACACAGGGGTGTTATCACTTGATGGAATGAACTCCACATATAAAGGAGACAAGACAATCTGTCACAGATAAAGGATGGTTCTGGGAACCCTAGATGAGCGGGTGAGCCTTAGAAGCTGCTTGTATAAATAAGGGTGGAGCCGGTGAGCAGTTGCCCATCGCTACAGCCGGTTTTGGCCAAACAAAACTTCATTCTCATCTTTTTCCGAAAATTCCAAAAATCCTTGTAACCTTTGATTCAACTGGCTTGGCGACTGGAAGGCGGGGCTTTGTGAGTTAGTTGGGGCCGCTCGCGCCAGCGACGCAGTCTGCGTCTCTCCCACGCGCGTGCTCTCTAATCATTACGTAGCCTTGATTTGGCACGAAGCCCCGCCTTCCAGCCGCCAAGCCAGTTGAATAGGTAAATGCGCCTTTTTATGATATTAAAGAATTAATGTTTACCGAAGCATTTGTTATTATGAAAATAAGTCAAGTCCGTCGCTTAATAATTGATCTACTCACATTTATTTTTATGGACATATACGTGGTTATTTTGATTGCGCGAAACTTAAGCAATAATTTGATCACTGCGGATTCTATGCTTATCGCTGTTTGCGAAAAACCCACTCCTTCCCCTCCCCCCGCCCACTTCCAACCTCTTCGCAAAGCACTGGTCATGAAAAACTATGCTTGTCCATCCATATCATATTTCCTTCTGAAATAGAATTGTTCGTTGAGCGCACTCAAACCACTCTTGTAAGCGACTCCCTCAAAGCCTATTCTGTTGGGACCTCAAAATTTTTTCGGTAACGTATCTAAACCTCAAGGTCGAGAAATAGTTGCCCACAGGTATAATGATAATTTATTAACAAAGTTATTTAAAACTGCTTCTATTATCTAGTCATAGCTACTCCTCCTTTAAGGGCCTATCAATTTTTGACTGTCCAGAGGACTCTTAAATGATTCAGGGTTACTTTAAATGCGTGAGAAAGGCAGTTTTTGCCCTTCTGGATTCTAATTGGCTCAAGTCTAGAAGTACTCCTTTTGGCTTTTATTTGAAATTTGGTCAAGAGAGTTTCGGCTTCACGTAAAATTATTCAATCAGTCCAATCTATTAGGTTGATGCATTATTTCCTGCACCAAAATAGGTACAGACCGCAATAACTCGGAATAATCCTATATCCCAAGTAGGATTCGATATATCATTTGATAGCGCAAACCTAGCTCTACAGAGTAGTGCCCACATATCTACACCAGCTTTGATCCACGCGAAGTTTTGAGCCAAAAACTGAAAAAAACCATGCGTCCGAAAACCTTAAGACAGATCTTAAAAAAATTGTAACTTCGTTCAAAAAGCTCATACAAATTTTCTTTCTTGCTCACGCGTAGACGTTCCATGTAAGACATTAATCTATGCGGTTGCTGTATTTTTTCTCAACTAGACGATGAGAAAACGAAGTTTTTCATGTTTTTTCCAAAACGATGCTGAGATGTTCTAGCACTGACAATTGTATACTATAGGACCTTAGAAGCGTGAATGTGAATTTTCAGCTCTTTAGAGCAGCTGGTTTACGAGAAATATCGAATTTTTAGCAACTAGGCAGGAAAAATTTGGAAAAGGAGAGCTAGATTCGTTATCTCGTGAATCAGCTGTTCTAGAAGGCTGAAAATGTAAAGTTTCACTGCTAACGGCATGTGCTATACAACTGTTAATACTAGAACATCTCAGCACTAATTTGGCAAAAACATGAAAAACTTTAAAAAACTTCGTTTTTTCATCGCCTAGTTGAGAAAAAATACAGCAACCGCATAGATAAATGTCTTACGTGGAACGTCTACGCGTGAGCAAGAAAGAAAATTTGTATGAGCTTTTTGAACGAAGTTACAATTTTTTTAAGATCTGTCTTAAGGTTTTCGGACGCATGGTTTTTTTTTCAGTTTGGCTCAAAACTTCGCGTGGATCAAAGCTGGTGTAGATATGTGGGCACTACTCTGTAGAGCTAGGTTTGCGCTATCAAATGATATATCGAATCCTACTTGGGATGTAGGATTATTCCGAGTTATTGCGGTCTGTACCTATGGTGCAGGAAATAATGCATCAACCTAATAGATATCATAATAAGAAACATTATGAAAGAATATTTTTCGGTGCATCAGAAAACCAAATCACTTGGAAATAAGACAGTAGTGAATTATTTCCTCAATGTTGTCAATCTGAGACATTGGAGAATTCAGATGGAATGGTAAATTTGGAAAAGACGGTTTAAAGTAAACAAAAGAAGAAAAAAATAATTGCCTCGTAGAATTTAAATAAGAGAAGAAGTAAGTAAATGGTATTCATATTATCGTAACTTATAACAAGTACGATTCCTTCGTGAGTTACGGGCTCCACAAAATTTCCAAGAAAAAAAACCCGGAGAATATCACACCATTCTCTTTCTTTGTCCCATTTAGCGTGCCAAAATCTTGCGTAACAATATAGTCTGGGGTAATTCATGATACTCAAGAGGTATGATGACGTCATGAGGACAACATAAGCGTAGCACTGGGTTTGAGAGATTCGGTTGAAGGACAGAGCACAATATCGAAAAGCATGTGACGAGAGCTTTCCCTAGGGCGAAGTGCTTCTCACAAAGATTTTGTTACTAGGAAAAGTTCAAGTGATTTAGCGTAGAGTGCAGATTTGAATGGGCAGATAAGTGGGGCTGTGAGGTCACTGCTTAGAGCGAGGTAAAGAAAACATTCAAGAATGCTAGAATTTGTTATCAAAAATCAAATCAACA